TGTGACAAAAATATCATATAATGAGATTTCAAAAGCAACTACATCAGTCTCAAAAAGTAACACAGCTATGTAATGTGAAGGGAAGAGCTGGTGCACACGCATCAGCCTTCTCAGTTGCAAATAAACTTCTAAAGACTCGGCAAAGATGGGAGAGATGCATATAAAATAATGCATATGTTAAAACACGTAATAAATTGAAAAGAAAACACAAATGAAAATTGTCTTTGGTGTTGTGTTTTTATAGGTGACATCATTTTTCTCAGGGGTCCACCTGGACACCAGGGACTACCAGGCTACCTAGGGGCTCCAGGAATCCCAGGAGTTGATGGGCCCAAAGGTTGGTTCCGTCAATCGTGTTGTTCTATTAGAACAAGCCATTCTCATTACTATTTTTTCCCCCTGAGACAACAATGATCCCAAACAATAGCCAGTCAGGGATGGCTTCTTTTCCCAAAAAATTATCTAAAAGTATTCATTTATCTGTAAATCAATAATGTATTTAGCACCCATGCGATAACTGTCAGATATCCTTCGAATGTGAGTTTTAGCCTGTGCGCAAGGAGAGAAACAGTGAAATGGATGTTTTATGTTAGACTCTTGGAATTTTCTCTCTCAGAACTCTACAGCTCAGTATAATAAAGTAAGTGGATATATAATAGATGAATTATTATTAATATGTACAATGTCCTTGATGGTTTTCACTACATAAAAAATGTTTAAATGTAGTAAATGATTGTGTGGTTGGAAAATATCTGTCCTTCCTGAGGACTCAGTGTGGGTTCATAAGTAATGCAAATGTGCTCCATCGCAGGAGAACCGGGCCTCCCGTGCACGCAGTGCCCTGCTATCCCGGGGCCTCCTGGCCTCCCAGGACTGCCAGGCCTACATGGTGTAAAAGGAATCCCAGGTATGGACAATTTGCATGCAAGTGTTTTTGTGAGCACAAAAGAGTCAATACACTGGGAGATTCAAAAAAAATTAAGGTTTTTGGTTTGTTGGTTTTCTTGTTGGGTTTTTTTGATGTTGTTGGGAGGGTTTTTTCAACATCTTTTCTTTTGTTATCATGTCGTCCTCCATTCTTTGATAGCTGTTATTTTTCCCTGTTGCGTTTTAGTTGCAGAACTCTAGCAAAGTATCGTGTTAGCCAGGAGTTGTCGACACAGATTCCTACCTGGAACCAGCAGGTCGCTGAAAGCAGTGAAGCAGCCGTACTAAACACACACCACTTTTTCTTCCATAAAGAAGTGAGCTCTCTCCCCTTTTTCCTCAAAAGACACAACTCTTCCAGTCCATTTTTTCATGTTCCCACTTTGAATAGAGTCATGGGAATAAGCAGTACTTCACTTTCTTCTTAAGGATACAAGTGCAATAAAAAACTACAACGTCCTCAGTGCCGGGGACGACACGTGAGGACTGCAGTGTGCAGAGGGCACAATTAAATGGACCGGCAGGCCTGTGGTTACCTGTCAGCATGTCGGGCCCTGTGTTAATGAATCTTCCAACTTTTCATGGGGAGAAATCAGAATTTTTATCTGAAGTCCATGATTTTGTTTTATTAGCCACTAAATCAATTTTTGAAGGGAAACAACATTTTATAGCCAACATTCTGAGGACTAAATTAAGCATGACTCACAGGCCTTCTCTTGCCAACTCTGTGCCAGACCAGGACTCTCCACCCCAACCCCATGCTCCTGGCTGTCACTGCCTCTGCTTGTCAACTGCCCCTTCCTTAGTCATAGCACTGGCCGTGGACTGAACCCTGAAGTAAAAAAGTTTCTGTTTATTGGTGATACCACACACCTGTTAATTCTGCCATCAGCACCTTGAGCTGGAGACACCATCATGGAGTTATTTATCGCTAACCAACAAGAGTTCAAGTAGCAGAGCCCTTGGCCAGTGTGCTGGGCACTGTCTAAGTGTCCTCTGTGCCTCCGTTCCTTTAGTTCTCACATCAACCCTAGAAGTAAGTGCCATCATCACCCCCATTGGACAGATGAGGAAGTTGAGGCGTATAAGATGACATAGCCCATAGATGGCAGAGCCCAGACTCGAATCCGCACATTCTCGTCCAGAGGCATGCTCTTGCCCTCCACGCTGATGGCCCTCGATTACTACACTGTTGCCTGTCTCCTCGGGGGCTGCTCTTTGGGGCGAGTTAATGCAAAGGTCTACCTGGCAACCCGGATGGGGAAGGTTATATGTATCACTATCTGGTAGATATTTTCATTGGCACAGGGGCTTCTGGGTGGCTGGGTCTCAGTCCAAAGAAGAAAGGCTAATGGTTGGCACCATGGCCAGCCAAGGGAGGACATACACTTGGGCAGAGACCTTTTGTCCCCCTCAGATCTCACCCTCTTCTCCTTTATAAAGGCCTCTGCTACTTTGCAATGGCTGCCAGTGCTCTGATGCTGAGAGACAGGCCTGAGAGGGAAGGAGGGGCAGAGAGGGCTGTTCCTCACGTAGCTCCTAATCAGTGCCCAGGTCTCTGGGGGAAATATTCTATTGAAACAAAAACTAAAAGGAAGGGAGGAAGGGAGTGAAAGAAGGAGAACAAGAATAAAAGATATGAAACCATTATTTTTCTACATTCCCAAGTCCCACCTATGGCTGGGATGAACCAGCTCACTAATTGCGTTATTGTATTTTTCCTTAACTTCTTTACATTTGACATATTCAGGTATAGCTCAAAGGAGATGTATAAGCAATAAAATGGTTTTGATTACTATATCCTGGCTTAATATCTGGCAAAAAATAGAATGTGAATAAACATTTGTTGATGAACTGACATGAGACCCATCCAAAAGATTGTCTAAAGGGATTATCTTTACAGAGACATTTAAATACCTATGGGAAGTATTAATAAATGATGGCTCACTCACATGATAGGCTGCTATGCGGCCATTTAAAATAAAGCTATAAATCTATACTTATTGACATATGTATAGTATGATTCCAAAATAGTGTGTATATGAGTCTTGTGCATTTATAGGTATAAAGATTTATGACTAATATACATTAAAATTTAGCAAACATTACCTTCTGGTGGTAGATTTATGGGTGATTTTTAGTCTCTTCATTCTGTATATTGTTCTTTAAAATTACTTTTAAATGTTCTGTAAAATTACTTTTACAAGTAATATATACTCAGAAAAAATAAATGTATGATCTTAAAATTATAAAGGTGTGAATTTTAAAAAGCTAAGATCTGAGTTATTTTTTACATTACTGCTTATTCCAGTTATTTTTCCCATTGTCTCATTGCACTGTATGTTTTATGATAGGAATCATCTTTCTTTCCTCATAAGAAAACACCCTGTTTTCTCCATACGTTGCATTCCCCTGGCTGCGTAGAGTCGGTGTTCCAACGTGGTATCTATGAGTAGTTAATATTCATTGCTTTGCAGGAGGGCAAGGTGCAGCTGGTGTGAAAGGAAGCCGGGGGTCCCCAGGAAGTGCAGGTCTTCCAGGATTTCCAGTAAGATTTTATGGTTTTAAAGCTTTAGCTTCAATTTAAAAACCAGTCCAATATGGTTGCACCACATTTAGGTGCCTGGCAAACAGTAGATGTTTAATAGATACTTGTTGATTAAATGAATAAATGATGTGTGAATGATTAAGCAAATGAATTTATAAATCATTTAAAATGATATCAGAGACAGATCAGTGGCTACCTGGGGCTGAAGGTGGGATTAATTGTTCCCTAGATTTGAGGGAATTTGGGGGAACAATGGAAAAGCTTTGACGTTGATTGTGGTGATTGTGGCCTGATTCTATAAATGTACTAAAAATCATTGAAATTTACTCTTACAAAGAATGAATTTTATGGTATGTAAATTATATGCCAATAAGCCTGTTAAAATTAAAATCTTGATTACCATGGTGATATATTCTTAATTCAAATTATTCAGAGAGACTTGTTAAAATTTACCAATATTCAGACATAATCTGAGTTGATGATGGTTGTACTGAATCATATTACTGTGTGTATTGTATTGAATTGTACTGTCTAACTGAATTCTTTTCCAGTTTTGGGAGTAAAAATGAAGCAAAACAAACAAAATGCTTAGAATAATATTTGTGGGCCAAAGAAAGTTTTAAAAAATCCACGCTTGTTAAAATTGAAAAGATTTTGTTGACCTGTTTCTAAGAGTGAGGAGGGACAACTCTATCAAAATTCAACGCAGTCTTTTTCTATACTCCCCAGGGTTTCCCAGGTACTCGGGGTGATCCAGGACTTAAAGGAGAAAAAGGGGAAACACCTCGGCCTGAGGGACAAGTGGGTGCCCCAGGGGAACCGGGGCTCAGAGGGCAACCCGGGAGAACGGGCTTGGACGGAATTCCTGGAACTCCGGGAGTGAAAGGATTACCAGGACCTAAAGGCGAACCGGTTGGTATTTAGCAGCTTTTTTCAAATTACCCTCCCCTATAAATGAAATGCTCTGAAGTTAAGAGATAAAGTAATTTCCTTTCAAAAAATGGTTGGCCACTTGGCACAGTTCATCACTGTAACTGCAGAAGGAGGCATCTTCAAATTAGCAGGAACCGCCCAAGCAAATATTCATAAGTACTTTGACAAAATAAATAGCATTCAATGATTTAGCCCAATTATAATTCTATGTTGATAATGACCCTGTCTTATGCACAAGTTACAGTTTTATATTTGTAACAGGTGAGTTTATGGAGAAATTCTGAAAACGACTACTAGTGGAATGTTTGAGTAAATATTTTGGGGGCAATGTCCGTTCTTTTAAGTAAAAATAAATACATGAAGACAGCATGCTTTGGGATATGGTAGTCAAATAAAGAGAGCAAATTTAAAATATATAAGCTTATGTAAATCCAATCCCTTTTGACAGGATAGAATTTCTCACATGTTTGAGGGGTAACACCTACCAGGATCTCTTTTAACAGGTCCCAGAGTAAGAGGTTGAACACCTCTCATCATAATGTATCTGTGAGAAGTTTGCAAGGCAGGCTGCCCAAACTATTCTACGAAATGCCAATTTTTCTCAGAAATAATCTGTGTTACCCAATATAAAGTGTCCCACCTCGAACAGGTTTGGGAAAACTCGGTAAACAAATTTCAAGATTCATTTATAGACCCTTTAATATCAGAATCTGAATTGTGATATTAAAAAGGGTCAACATGTAGACATGGTATACAGTCCTCCCTAAACCCTTCTGACGACAGAACACATTTTGGCTGGGAGCATCCGCAGGACCAGAGTTTCTCGGATCCTGCTTTGGCAAATTCCCAGGCTGCTCACCTTGTGATAGTTATGCTTATAAAGGGACAGTGTTAGAATTCTGTTTTTCTACTATTAACAGAGTTTGTATGATGCCCCCATTGGCATCTCACTAATTTTTCTTTATTAGTTTTGATAAAGATGCCCCAGAAAGCAAAGGAGAGAAAATAAAAAAAGTGATTTATTGAGTCTTACACTCTGTCATTATATTTAAAAAAAAAAAAAAAAAAGGAGAAACACCACCTAGCCATGAAGATATTGAACAATGAATTAAAAGTCCTGGGGGACCATGTTGGGGAGAAGGTGCTTCAATTTTGTCAAATTCAACTTCTTTAAAAATATATAACTCATTTTTAAAGTTACAGTGTATACATTTTTTTAAAAAAAAGAGTAGACGTTTTGTGAGAAAAACTAACACAGGTGAAATATCTGCTTTGTAATGAAAATATCTGGTGAAAACCACACAAATAAAGGTTTTCTGTCCTGGTCTTATTTTAGAAATGTAACATTAGCATGAATATCAACTCTAAAGCCATTTGAACTGTTGGTCAATTTGAACTTAGCAACATTTTATGGACTTGGAACTGTCTTAAGTCCCGCTTGAGAGATCCTGCAATGATGCGTCTCCCGTAGGAGAACAGCCACTAACCCTAAGTTTGAATTCCAAAGGGCATAAAACAGCATAAAACCTTCAGTGCTCTTATTTTAGTAATAATTCCCATCAAATGCCAACTGCTTTTTAATTCAAGATCGTCTCAATGACAGCCTAGCTAGTACTCATGCCTGGGGTATGATTAACCTGTTGTAAGATACTGGAATGAAATACTATCCACATTCCTATTGTCACAGGCTCCACGCGGTGAGAAGAAAGACCAGGGTCCTCCAGGGTATCCTGGCTCCCCTGGGTCCCCAGGATCTGCAGGACCAGCTGGACCAGCTGGACCACCTGGCTACGGACCCCAGGGAGAGCCTGGTCCAAAGGGCACCCAAGGAGTTCCTGGAGCCCCTGGACCACCAGGAGAAGCCGGTTGGTTAGTTTTCTTTCCAGTCCTGTTTTCCTGTGGAGTGGGTTGGTGGTTCTTAGAGCTAAGGAAGCTACTCCAAGACGAATGAAAATATAGAAACTTGCTTCTAACAAATAGAATATGTCAATTCATAGACACTGGGAAAGAATATATAGGATATGGTAGAGAAAATCCGTTTTTCCCTGTTACTGGGCAATTCAACTGACATTTCCTAGGATAATCTATCCCTATTACCGATATAAGTATATAGAATGAACAGATCCTAAGTGATGAGTGGAAGTCAGTTATGGTAAACATAATAAAGAAAGGGGAGGCAAAAACCTACGAAACTCATCTTGAGAAGCCTCTTCCAGGCCACAAGAGCCCACTAGCATTGTTGCAAATTTGGTCTTTTTGGTCCATAACTCACTAGGCAGGTTATAAATAAAACTTTAAAATATCTAAGAAAAATGATGCAAAGTTGTCTGATAATAGTTTTAAAGAAAGTCCAAGTGGCTTTTGAGATCCACAGGAACTGAACACAGCTCTGGATTCAAGAGGAATCAGGTCCTTAATGTTTACCTGTGACCAAAATTATGGCAGGAGATGAGAATAGCACGATACCAACAGGTTTAAATAAGTAATGCTACTATGATCGTGTTTTACTTCTCAGATCATTTCAAAGGGTAAGACCCAATAAATCTGTGGTATCCAAATCATTTTTTATCTTTTTCTTTTCTTAAACAAAATTCATGCTTGCTTTGTTGCCCAGGCTAGAATGCAGTAGTATGAGCCTAGCTCACAGCAACCTCAAACTCCTGGGCTCAAGCGATCCTCCTGCCTCAGCCACCAAGGGACTACAGGCACATACCACCACGCCCAGCTAAATTTTCTGTTTTTTGTAGGGGGTCTCGCTCTTGCTCAGGCTAGTCTTGAACTCCTGGCCTCTAGCAATCCTCCCACCTCAGCCTACCAGAGTGCTAGGATTACAGGCGTGAACCAAATCATTTTTTAGTGTCTCCCTCATCAGTAAAACTGAGTGTACATCCCCATGTTCTTCATATTATAAATTGTATGCATCATTTTTGTCTTTACATATATATATAAATCTTATTTTATGACTACATATATATATAATAAATATATATATTTATTTACTTTTCTCTGCACCTTACTTTGGAGGCTGCAGAGAAAAATAAATCTAACCCAGGGATTAGCAAACCCACAATCCAGGTCTAGCCCAGGGCCTGTTTTTATATAGCCCACGAGCTATGAATGGTTTTTACACTTTTGAATAATTGAAAAAGGTTTAATAACAATTTGTGCTATACAAAAATTATATGAAATTCAAATTACAGTGTTCATAAATACAGTTTACTGGAGCACAGCCACACTTATTTATTTATGTGTTGTCTCTGGCAGCTTTCGTGCTACAGTGATCGAGTTGAGTAGTTGTATAGATGTGGACCACAAAACCTAAATTATTTACTCTCTGGCCCCTTATAGCAAAGGTTTATTGACTCCTGTTTTAATCCATCCTCAAATGCTCTTCTGTGCTTTGGAAACCATTGTCATGAAATATATCATTAAATTTTTCCCATCACACACTGTAAACCTATTTTTTTTCTATATAGACAACACTTACCACTAATATGTTTTTAATGTTGGCTACTGTTTTTCTGTTGGCCACTGTGGACAGAACATTATCGAAAATCCTTACCTGCTGGGGTAGACATTGTTTGCTCTAAGACAGGATGAGGAATTTACTAGAGAGGTTAAGAAAAGTGTCCAAGCTCACAGCTCTTATAGCAGAGCCAAGATTCAAACACACATGGTCTTAACCACATCAAAATTTGTTGTTTTGTTCAATATATCATGCTGACTTCCCATGAAAACTAGTCACCTAATAAATAAATAGCTTATCAATATTCACTAACATTTAAACTTAATTCCATATTATCAATTTTTTGGAATAGGCTTTCTTTCACTAGACCAGCATATTGGACTATTAATTAAAACAAGACTTAGACAATAGTATATACTTATAATATTTGTTAATTGAATAAGAAAGTTTCTATGTGCTGGTCATCCTTACACTAGCTTTGAAACCTGTAGAAGCAGAGACTGTTTTCTATTTTCCCTGGGATATGTTTACAATCAAATTTGCCCCTATCATCTAAAGAAATCTTCAGTGTGCACCCCGATCTTATGATCACACATTTTCTTAAGGTCCTAGGGGAGAATTCACTGTATCAACACCAGTTCCAGGCCCCCCAGGACCTCCAGGGCCCCCTGGCCATGCCGGCTCCCAAGGTCCACCCGGTGAGTATCCCCTTTGCCAAGTTGGGTGCATGGCATCAGACAGTGCCCTGACTCTCCTGGAAAAATACTGTCCCCACCGTAAGTAAAAACTCTATTCATTGCCTTCAAAACAAAACACAGGGCAGAGCCTGTCAGATAACAAGCAAGCAGGCAGGGGCTTGCTGTTCGTTCTCTGAGGTTCTCCAAATTATTCCTGCTGGTGCTTCTGCTGTAAAAGTTCCAAAGGAGAACCGATATAATGACTTCAGCGGAATTCTAGAGGAGAACAATCTACGTGGAGTGTTGTGGGTAGGGGAGAAAACAATGTTTGCCCATTGGCAATGAATCGGTATATTTCCCATAGCATCTTCACTGGAAAACTTGATCTCTTTGCCAGTGTGATCTAAAACTGAATTTCACGTGCATGGAAGGAGACTTATAAAGTTCAAGATATCTAGAATATTTCCTTTTAGGAATTAAGTTATATTTTAAAAACTCTTTGCAGCTCCTAATGATTAGTTCATTAGATAGGAGGGTGGGGAGGAAGGGTATACAGTTGGAGTTATGTTAAAATTATTATTTAATTTTCCAAAAGGACTGGGGTGACACAGAAAACATAGACATTTTCTTTTAAAACAAGATACAGGCAAGTTGCTGATGTGGAGGGGTGGGTGTCTGTGTTTTTAAGGTATCCCTGGATCCATGGGAAAGTGTGGTGATCCTGGTCTTCCCGGGCCTGACGGTGAACCAGGAATTTCAGGAATTGGATTTCCTGGGCCTCCTGGACCTAAGGGTAAATTTAAAAATTTTAAAACATAAGGTTCATTGTTGATATTTAGAAGGTATAGGTATAAATAAATTGAATAAAATAGAATATAAATATATAAATATAATATATGATATAAAGTGAATAAAATAAGAAATATCCATAATATCCTTTAAAATGATGTATTTCCAAGTCTTAAATAGGAGGAAAAAAATCTTACAATAATATTAAATGAAAAGGCAGAATTCACATTGATTTATGTTATCTCATCTCAATTGTATTTTTAAAAATACATAGAAAACTACTGGAAGGAAATTCGCCAAAATGGTACATAGTGATTGTTCTTGATTGTGGGATTATAAAGTTTTTTTGTTACTTCTTAATAAATGTCTACACTTTTTATGTTTATACATTTCTTCACTTTATGTATTTCTTTTTTTAATGAGAAAGGAACTATTAAATTACAAATAGCTGATTTCCTCATACATTCCCAAATAGATTATGATAGTTATTTTCCTTTAGGAAAAAATGCTATTTCCTCTCAAAGAGGAAACTCTGCAAAAACATCCAGATGTTGAGAGCTGAGGCTTCCTGCTGACGAGTACATCAAAGTCTCACCCATGATGACATATGAATAACCTCAGTCTCTGCGTTGCTGCATAGAACTGCAGGTTTTATGATAATTTTATGTTTGTTTAAATATTATTTAAAATTCTTGTCAAGATATAACCCATTTTTGGTGTTTCAACTCTTGGATTAGTATGTCATCAATGTTTGTTATATATGAATTCTGCTGAAATATGGGAATACCGATTTCAATTTATGAGTATTTTAAATGGAAAACGTAGTCACATTTCTTATATGATCTTTTGAGTCCAATTTCTTGGATTTCTTCCTAATAATCTGTGAAGTAATGGAGCCTAGCTGATATTTTTACCTAGTTCTTCTTGGACCCTGCATTAATAAATTACTAGCTTTGTAACTCTATGTATTCATTCTCCGGAAGAAGACTGTAGACTACGGGAATGAGAACTAGACTAAGGGTGCCTTGAAAGAGGAGATTTACAAGTTCGTAATTGAACCTAATGAATCCCACGAGCTAACTGTGAATCAAACCTTGGTCAAATTAGGGACAGAAAGGAACTCTCTGAATGTAGCTTTGCTTCACCAGGGTTTCCCCTTCTGAACCACAGAACATAGAATATGATGCATTACTCCTTTCTCAATTCCCTTATTATTAATATTAATATAAATGCATAAGAAGAAGTTAATTCATTACATACAATGGATGCTATAGGTCATTGGGATTTAATTCTCTTGAACGACCCTTATTGAGAAAGGCTGCCTGGGGTGCTGAAAAAGCTCCATATCTTGGTCTGGGTCATGAATGCACACATAAAAATCCATTTAGCTATATGCCGTATGTAAAATATGCTTCACAAAGCCAGTCAGATGGTCAACCAGCATTAGTGGTTTGAAGAATTGCTGAACCAAAATTGTAGCATACTAAACAACAAAAATAGAGAAAGTCATTTTTTAAATTGGGAACCAATGTAACCTGACTTGGAACTGATTTTTTTAATTGCTAATTTATCAGTTGGTTTTCTCATCATTCAAGCTTTCATAAAAATATCTCTAGCTGGTTGAGAGCTAAAAGACTTACTACTCAGGATCTTTCAATAAGACTAAACCTGCAACATTTGTTTTTTCTCTGTAGGAGACCGAGGTTTTCCAGGAACAAAAGGATCACTGGGTTGTCCTGGAAAAATGGGAGAGCCCGGGTTGCCTGGAGAGCCAGGACCCCCAGGACCCAAGGTCTGCAAAAATTAAAACTCAGACTGTCACAGGGGAATGGAGGGGTGACCATAGTTGGTCAGTTAGGATGCCCCCACTAGGCAGGACACTCTACATTTAGAAATATCTATGTATTTGTAGTTGATGAAGATATTAAATATTTTTAAAAGTTTCTCTGGAGCATCCTCCCTTTTAGAAAGGAAAATAGAAGGTGTTAGAAGGCAGGTTTCCATTTCTTTCTTCCTTAAAAACTTCATAAACAGAGTATTTAAAATGGGAGAACTCTAGAAAGAAAGGTGGTTAGCTATGAGAAAAACTATCAAAAGTAAAGACATCTAGATTTTTCTGTTTACACACAATTCCACAGTCTTCTGCAAAAAATGGAGACTCCATATCCTGAAGCATTATTAAGCATAATTTTATAGAAAAGTGCACAACTAGAGTTGAAAAAGGCAAGTCAATGCAATGGTGGTGTCTGTGCAAAAGGGACTGAGAGCCTCCATAACAGAGAGGTTATTTTCAAGTTAACAGCCCTAAAGACAAGTCAGTATCAATGACAATTTGGAAGCATTATATAGTAAAACTAACATAATTTCTGTGCTATAGGGAGAACCAGCACTAGCCATGCCTGGAGAACCAGGAACACCAGGTTTTCCAGGAGAAAGAGGCAATTCTGGGGAAAATGGAGAAATTGGACTCCCTGGACTTCCAGGTCTCCCTGGAACTCCAGGAAATGAAGGGCTTGATGGACCACGAGGTACAATAGCAAGTGTGATTACTTTTCTCCACTGTGAGCTCGGCTAAAATGCAGCAAACTGAACGTGTAGGTGCTCTAGGGGTGAAGAACTCTTCTCAAATAAACTTCTAGTTCAATCAATAGACTCTGTGGGGCCTAATTTCCCATTCTTTGTTACTTCTCTACCTTTCTTTCTTCTTTCTTTCTTCCTTCCTTCTTTCCTTTTTCACCAGTACCCTCTACAATTAATAGTATTAAACATAGTATTCAATATAGGTCTGATTTAGGGGGAAAATGTTACAGAAGAATGATTGGTATAGCAATACCAGAACCTTTAGTTTGGGCTGCTGAATATGTACTTGGACTCTCTTTTGCAGGAGATCCAGGGCAGCCTGGACCACCTGGAGAAAAAGGACACCCAGGAAGGTGCATAGACGGTCCCAGGGGAGCTCCAGGACTTCCAGGATTAAATGGATTGAAAGGGCAAGAAGGTAGGAGGAGTGCCTTGAAACCAATCACCAGCCGGGCAGGTGACGTGGGCCTCCTGCTCTGCACTTTGCTGCTTACCATGGGAACTGTCCAGCGACAAGTCCTGACCACCGTTCAGGGAGAAATGTTATTTCAGAAATGTAAACTTTGCTGTCATGGATTTGATGCACATGGCAGTGTGTGCCACCTATAGAGGAAGTTAATATAGTGAGTTGGTCTGTGTCTTTATGCAAGAAAGTGTGAACACTTTATCTAATATAATCTAATCTCTCTATTTTAAGATAGATTAGACAGAGAGATATATATAGAGACAGAGAAAGAAAGATAGGTGTGTATTTACATATATTTATATACATATAAACTCTCAGAAAACATTTTACCTTTAATATTCCATAAGTATATTAAAGTATCAATTTATCCTTATTATTAAAATAGAGTAAATGTATGCAAAGATACCAGTTTAAAAGATGATAAACTAAAATATGTAGTTGATTGCTTTATACATGACATGAAAGAAAGGACGTGAAAATAAATCTAAATGACGGAGGCTGGATGTTCCAGACAATGAGAAACTTACTTTGTCATTTGGATCCTCTCAACCAGACCTAGTGGACTGTTTCTGGGAAAAATTCTTTAGAATTCAGTTAACGTCTATGGGCTATCAACTGCTTATATGTTCACAAATAAATTTTTGGCCAAGACCTTAATTGTCATAGTAGTGCAGTTATTGTTTCCAGAAGCATCCAGAGTGAGTGGGCTCTGTATGTGTTCTGCAGGTTAAAGACTGAGCCACAGTCAAAAAGTACAGTGCCAGAATGTGCCTGCAGGATTAGGGAATAGGTGTAAATACTACACTTTTATTACTGCATGAATCATTGAAACACAGAATGTTAAAGCCAGAAGGGATCTCAAAAAATTTTACCGAAGGGGGCATCGAATAAATAAATAAATACAGAGAGAGAGAGAGAGAAAGAGAGAGAGAGAGAGCGAAAGTGTGCAGTTTACCCAAAATCACACAGTTAAATATCTACAGCCATAAAATATTTCTGGAGTTGGTGGGAAAAGCACCTGTGTGTTAATTCATTTATTTATCCACTTGTCCATTTATCCATATATAGGCAGGAGAGGTGAAACAGGGCCAAAGGGAGACCCAGGGATTCCAGGCTTGGATAGGTCAGGATTTCCTGGAGCACCCGGACCACCAGGAATGCCGGGTCAGCGAGGCGAGATGGGACCACCTGGTCAAAAAGGATATCCAGGAAATCCAGGATTTGTAGGGCCACCAGGTATCCTTTTTTGTTTTTTAATTTTTCCTCTTATATCTTCTTCCATATTTTCCCCTTAAGGTGGCTCTGTAAACTGTACAGAGGCATAGGCTTTTGACGCTATGTTTTTCTTTCAGTTAGTATAGGGTGGTGGGGGATGATCACGTTTCATGATTACCCAGGATATGGCTATTTTTGCTCTGTAAGCCTTTTTATATACTATAATACTACTATAATATGTTTACTAGTATTTTGTTGAGACTTTTTGCATTTATATTCACAAGGGAAATTGGTCTGTAGTTTTCTTTTCTTGTGATGTCTTTGTCTGGGTTTGGCATCAGGGTAATACTGGTCTTACAGGACAAGCTGGGAAATGTTTCCTCCTCTTGTATTTTCTGAAAGAGTTTGTGAAGAATTGATATTCTTTAAACATTTGGTAGAATTCACCAGGGAAGTCATTTGGTAGAATTCATCATTTCTTTGTGGGAAGTGTCTCAGTTACTAATTCAGTCTCTTCTCTTGTTATATGTATCTTCAGGCTTTCTATTTCTTCTTGAGTCAGTTTTGGTAACCTGTGCTTCTCTAGGAATTTGTCCATTTTTGTCTAAGTCATCTAATTTGTTGCCATGGAGTTTTTCATAATATTCCTTTATAATCCTTTTTTATTTCATGGCTATTTTCATAGTTTACATGTTTGGGGAGAATATTCTAATAATTTCCTCATAACATGAGGACCTCACTGATCTCCCCTCCAGAGAAGAGCCCAGAACAACTTAATCAGCAAATTCTCCTTTCGTTCATATTACTGAGCTACTGTCATGTGCCAGCACTGTTCTAGGCTCTAGGGACACATCAGTGGACAAGTGTGCCTGCCCATAGTAGAGGAGCAATAACAAATACGTTTAAATTCCAGTGCTATGAAGAAAATAAAATAAAGGGATATAATAGAAAGCCATTGGTCAGGGGGTATGAGGATGGAATGCTCCAAAACTTTAGCATATTCTAGTCTTATCCACAAATGTGACTTGCTACCAATGACATCCACATAGATGAGGTAAAAAAGGCCATTTGCTGATCCATCTCTTAGACAAATACAGTTATTTTCCTATTTACAGAAATCATTCTTTCATCTCTCAATCTCACCTTCTAAGTATAATTCATTTTATTTTATGGAATATTTTGCTTCTCTCATCCTGTACAACACGTGCTGCTGGGTGTTCATTTGTTTCCACAGGTGAAAATGGAGTGGTCGGGATGATGGGCTATCCTGGAGCCACTGGCCCACCGGGGCCACCTGGGAATCCGGGCATCCCAGGGCACAGGGGTAGGTGATGGAGTGTCTTTCCAGGTATCAGGAGGCAACAACAATGTCCATTATTTAGCAGCAAAATAAGTTACATTTCATTCTTTGGGGAAAAAAATAGTTCTGAGAGAACAATGTATTTAATTTTGCTGTTTTCTGTATCCTTTTCCCATCTGAATGGAATCCTGTTTTCTCCCTGCAGGCTGATACCACCACTCTTACGTGGCTGCCTGTTTGGGCAAACTATTTATCAAGTTCTCAGCACTGTTAGCCCTTTTTGTTTTTTTGTTTGTTCTGTTTTATTGCAAGCACTATTAACTTTCAAATCCCTATGAACCAAGGACCTGATGTTGTTACTCTTATCTGTTAGGTAGCCCTGGAATTCCAGGAGTAAAGGGCAACAGAGGACACCCAGGAGCAAAAGGGGACCCAGGAGATAAAGGGAATCCGGGGCCTTCTCAGATAACCCATTTAAAGGGGGACAAAGGAGAACCAGGTCTAAAAGGTAAATCATTTCTTACATTTAGAATCAGAACACCAGGCTGGGCACAGTGGTTCACACCTGTAATCCCAGCACTTTGGGAGAGTGATCGCTTGAGGCCAGGAGTGCTAGACTAGCCTGGGCAACAGACTGAGACAATTGTCTCTAAAAAATAAAAATAAAATAAAATAAAATAAACTTCTCCAGCTGAAATTGAAACCTCTACCCCAAATTGAACTTTATTCTGTTAACTACCAGAATAAATTTTTTCTGATTGTCATATAGTCAGTACAATCAACCTAAAACCAGATTTTACAAAGGCCTGCCTTGCAGTCTTCTTGACCAAATTTAATCCCAAGCAACATTAGAAAAACAGAGAATTACTGGGTAAAATGTTACCTTTGCAGACTTCCATAGCAGGGAAGGAATACAAGAAAAATGTGTTTGCAATTGCAAAACCATATCAAGCTTTGAGAAATTTGCAATGAATTTTGAGAAATTAGATTGTATTCCACAAATATTTATATCCTTGCCACTTAAGGATTTATAATCTGAGTGAAGATTTGCTTTAAAAATTCTACACAGGGTGCTGTAGACCATGATAGAAAGATTAACCGGAGAGTTAGGAAGGAAAAGCCTTTTGAGTAGTTCCCATTTAAGCTGGTGTTGAAGACATAGTTTAGTTCTGGTGCAGACAGAGGATAGCAATGAAATAAAAAGTAATATGAATTTTCTAAAACTCTCTTAGAACTGGTCTAAGCCAAGATATGAAAAAGAAAATACTGCACAAATTTCCAGTCCTTATAAGCTGTCTGCACAGACACCACCTCAATACACTATTCTAGATTATTTAAGTAGGGTTAGAAACATTTTGAAAAAAAATATGCATAGTATATCTATGCCTATCTAAGCCAAAAATTTGGCTCTCACAGCATAAATGCACAGTGAATACTAATTTACAATTAGAAGAATTCCTTTTGTAAAGTATAGAGGGACACATGCTATTTCTGTGCTTCTAACAAAATTATTTTACTCACCCAAAGTACAGTATGTATCGAGGCTGTTGTGTTTGTTTTCATTTGGCTTTTCAAATGCATAGCCAAGGAGCACAGATTGAACCAAACAAAAAGAGAGAGATAGACAGACAGACAGAGAGAACATATTGTCTAGGCCTCTCTAATTTCAGTATGATCCATTTTATTTAAATCTGAATTTCTGACTTAAAGATTTTCACTGCAAATGTGGAAGAGATATTGAGTGTCCAAATAAGCATGGTCATTGTCCTGACCCGAAGGAGTCTGCGTGGGAGACTTAGGCATATATATGAAAAGATAATAAATGAATAATACAAGGTGCAAATTAGTACTGTTACATTATTTAACAAAGATCTATGTAGCACTTACCACGTGGAGGAACTGTTGTAAGTTTTACAAAATATTGATTCATTTAATCCTTGCAACAACCCTAGAAGTAGGTACTATTGTTGTTATCATCCCATTCTACAGATGGGGAAGAGAGAGGTCAAGTTACTTAATGTTGCTGTGATAGGAAGTAGGTGATGGACATCACACTGATGTGGCTGGTTCCAAAGCCCACACTCGGCCTCGTCACTGTGCTGCCAGGTACCACTGACAGTGAGCCCTGTGGGAGCTGAGGGAAGTGGAAAACGTAGTGACTAGGAGAGTCAGGGAAACCTTCATGAAAAAGGACTTAAATTATGAGTAGGATTCAGATAAGCAAATAAAACTCTTGGCTTAAAATCTTTCCAAGGCTCCCTTTGCTTTAAGAATTCAAACTTCTTAGACTGGCATACAAGTTCCTTCACCACCTGTGCTTTGCTTAGCCCTCCAGCCACATCCGATGTATGTACTCAACCATTGTTTAGTGCCCGTGAACTAGCATTTTACTGTGTCCTGAATACAGAGGTGAGCAAAGCAGACTTAGTCTCCTAGTCACCATGAAACTTACAATTTGGTGGGTGGGGGAGACATTAATGGATCTGTACACATTTTCCCTATAGGCCAGACAGTAAATATCTTAGGCTTTGTGGACCACATATGGCCTCTGTTGCATATTCTTCTTTGGGTTTTGTTTTGTTTTTATAACCCTTTAAAAATGTAAAAACCATCCTTAGCTCTCAAGCCATGCAAAACCTAGCCAGATTGGGCCCAAAGGCTATATTTTGCCAATCCCTAGAAAACTGAAGTAAATGAACATGCTAAACAATGTCTATTTTTAGATTGTGATAAATGGCTTAAATGGAAAAAACAAAGGTTGCAAAACAAAACAATCTAATCTCTGACACTCATTACTCCTTTGCACATGCTCTTTTCCTGCCTGGGAACCCTGCCCCATTCCATGCCTTCTCCACCCAGTTAGCTCTCACTTGGTCAGCAAGATTGAGCTAAAAAATATCCCTTCTTCCAGAAATTCTTCCTTGGAGCATATTGTGCCCAACTCTATTGCAGAACTCATCTCACTGGACAGTAGTTGTTTACTTGGCTGTCTCCCCAAGTAAACACCAAAAACTTGGGGAAAGAGGACATGATTTATTTATATCTTCAGTCCTCAGCACAAGACCTATTAATTACTTGATCCATATGTGAATGAATGAATAAGAATATAGGCAGGAAAACAGCCAAAGGAAGTGAATCTGCTTGAGAAAAGGCACAAAGCCAGGCTGCAGACAGATGGTAGAATGCTTCATGCAGCCGGAAGAGTTTCCAATTTACTCTGTAGGTAACACATTCAGTAGAGATTTATGAGCAGGAGAAAAATATGATCAAAATCCTGTTTTAGGGAGAATAGAATGATGTCCTTGATGTTTGTGAGCTTTCCAGCCATGCAGAACTGGATTCAAATCCCAGTGTTATAGCTGATTGACAGTGTGACTTTGGGTAAGGACTTTGACTTACCTAATACTTAATAAATGATAATTTTAATACATGGATTGAGAATGGAATAGTCTAGATGAGAATAGGGCAGTAGATAGTGCTTTGTCTTTACTATATAAAAATAGAAGAGGTATTTAGGCTTCTACTTCTTAAAATGTTTTAAAGAGTAAATATGATGATAATTGCTAGCATTCATTGAGGACTAACTTATGCCAGGCACTGTGCTAATACTTTGCACGTATTATCTGATTTAATCTTCTTAAAAAGATAGAAGCCAACATCTACCTGTGCTCTTAACAGATATGCTATGCTGTCTTACAATAATATCCCATCAGTTTAAACCAGGATGTGGATGAGTCTGATAAAATTCTATCCTGTATTTTTACTACCTGGTTTTTAACTTTAGGATTTTCAGGAAATCCAGGTGAGAAAGGAAACAGAGGCATTCCAGGATTGCCAGGTTTAAAAGGCCTCAAAGGACTACATGGGCCACCAGGACCACCAGGTATAGCTGATTCTTGAATAGAAATATCGTATCTCAAGTTTTCCTAAATCTAAATGTAATAAAAAATTAAATTAAAATGAAGGTGTTTATAGTAGACATATATTGACTAATGGTTCCCTTTTCATCCTCAATATTTTATACTGGAATTGCTGGTATGTATTATAAATTACAATGTATCACAATACCACATGTCAGAGACAAAAATTAGATAATGCTTTAGACGTTTTCAGATTTGCCTCTTTCTTTTTTTATGCAAATTATTGAGTTTGCAAAATAATTTTTTAAATAATTAAAGTAGCCCACTATCCCCCATAACCACTTCAGTAACAAAATATGGCAATAAAACTTCAGTGTGCGGTTGAAAATATATTACTATATGGTCACAGGAGCCTACCCTTTCCTGCTGGTGTTGGTCCTGCAATGATTTTGATGTCTAAAATCCAGGCCTGCTGACAGGAATCTAACTTGCTCTAGTTTCAGTGTTCCAAATCCCCACTTCCCTCCTTATCTGAAGGCAAAAGGGAAGCTAAACAAGTACCTGAACCAGCTGATCTGGCTGTTCTGGATTCATTCATTCATGCAAGCAACTAATATTTGTTGAGCATATGCTGTACCTAGCACCTATGCAGGACATATGACTATTTATTTGTTCTCAAGGCCCCAGAGGAGATCTGGGCAGTATTGGGAGTCCTGGAGAACCAGGACCACGTGGCGTGCCAGGAAACGTGGGGAACATGGGTGTACCAGGTAATGCATAAGGTCCTCTTATGAGCCTCTACAAGCTCATGATGGGGGCGCAACTTTAGATATTCTGTGTTGTATGTTGTTTTAGTTTTCTACCTGGTAGAAAGTTTATGTAAAACAACTAGATTTGCTTTTGGGAAAATGTACTGTGTGCATCTAGAATATGAGTAAGAACAAAATAAATATTGATGCTATATAAGAACCAACCATTGTAATTACCTGATGCATTTGTGATTCTGAAGAACCAACTTCTTAAGAGAAGGGTGGTTTACACAAAAGTCAAAAATAGAACACTTCAAGATCCCCATGTTTACTTATTTTACCTGATTTTTCCCCTAATTTCAGGTTCTAAAGGAAAAAGGGGAACTTTGGGATTCCCAGGACAAGCTGGAAGACCAGGCCTCCCAGGTATTCATGGTCTCCAAGGAGATAAGGGAGAGCCAGGTTATTCAGAAGGTACAAGGCCAGGACCACGAGGACCAACGGTATATATAGGCCACTGAAATATTTATGTTTTGGTGGTAGGTTGAGCACGTTGAAATATCAACAAGTATCCAGATTCAACGTGGGCAGAGAAAATTGAAACAATTACTGTACTTTCAGGCAGTTATTTGGATTTTTAAATCCTATCTCCATGACTGAGGATGCCTGACTATCACACAGGTGTCAACTTCTGAAAGCCTCTTTCAGCCACCAAGAAATTTCTCACACTGTCCCTGCAATTTAAGTGTGCTGCCAGAAGGGGGCAGTGATTACAGGCCCACACACTTTAACAGGGCAGTAAGTTTCTTCTTGTGATACAAAGTGACCAGTGTTTGGTGTGGACTCATCCCACACAGACTTAGAAAAATAAATTTCCAAATCTTATAATCAAAAACACTTGTCTCATTAAAATATAACAAAGATACAAAATAAAATAACTTCAGAGCATCATTAGAAAGTGAACAAATCTGAAGATAAATACATTTATCTTTCTTAAATGTTTTAGAACTTTAAGTATTTTCATTCCATTACATAAAATATTTTTATCTTGTCTCAATGTTCTTGGTATTTATGCTCTGCCAAATTGAGGTTAGATGTTAAAGCCCTTGCTAGTGTGCTATATGAAGCAGCAACCAAATGTTTCAGTGGGGCTTGGTTGCTTTTTTATTTTTTTCCAGCCTTTCTGTGTATAGCAGTTACACTAAAAGCCAGAGATAGACCACTAGAGAATAATTAATAGAAATTCCTATAAGCAGAGGTTGTTAACCTGGGATTCCGTGGACCCCTAGCAAAATCTATGGGATCCCAAGAAACACACTGACCTCTTGAAATTAAATGCAAAATATTTCAAAGTGTTTTTGTAGGGGAGAGTATATATTTTCCACCATATTTTCAAGAATATATGACCCCCAAACATAAAAATTGTTACTTAGGGAACCCTCTCCCTCTCTTTTGAGCCAATAAAATACCACCTTTCTTAAAGATTTTCACCAACTATGTCCTCCAGTAGTAATTGCTAAAACAAGAAAGAAAAAATTGTAGACACCACACGGACACAAGAAAGTAACCATTTATTACTTGGAGCACAGACAAATTCCTTTTCTCTTTGTACTTAGATTAAGTTCTCAGAAACTTAAGAGTCTCAGGAGGAGATTCCTTCCACTGAGATATTTTCTCGATGAGAAATCCTATTTGAGTTAATTCACATCTAGTTAATTAATAGTTCCATTTAGATTTAGGGTTTTTCTAGGCAACCACCAGAAGAAATTTTTAGAACCATGCATTGAACAAATCAGAGTAAGAGTAGCATATTTTAATTGGCTACAATAGAAATTTTCTAAGTCTCCATCAAACCCATATGTTCTGGTTTTGTCATAAAACTAAAATACAGATTTAATAAATATTAAATCATTGAAAGTTTTTTTTAACGTGATTAACAGACATTTATCTGGATGTGTAGTATTTGTAGGACACATATCCACTTAGTCTATGCCTTTCTTACCCCCAGTTAGTCATCAAAATTTGTAATTATATATCTATGTGATTATTTAATGCCTATCTCCATACTGAAGCTGCCTGAAGGCAGGGGCCGTATATATCATATATCTGAATATGTTGGTCATTACATCCTGGTAAGAGCTAGCTTCATGGGTATGCAACCTGTACAGTGACAGAGGTCCCATGCTAAGAAGGACCCCATTCTTGGTTTAATGTTTTGCTGTTCCCATCTTGAACTTCTTAAAAAATATTTTAAAAGGGGACCATATTTTCATTTTGTGCAGGGCCCCACGAACCACGTAGCCATCGTGTTCCCGGCACCTATCATGGTGCTGGCAGATAGCAGACACTAAATACGAATTGATGAATGAATAAATGAATAAATGAATGAAGTTTATACTTAATTCTAATTGCATATCTTGCTTATATGAGAATTTTAAAGGTCTCTGACTAAATTTAAGGGGGATCCAGGATTGCCAGGTGACATGGGAAAGAAAGGAGAAAGAGGGCCACCTGGGCCACCTGGACATTTGGGGCCTGCTGGACCTGAGGGATCCCCTGGAAGTCCCGGAAGTCCTGGCCACCCAGGTGAGCCTTGGCTTTACAATTCTAAAAGCTGAAAGCATTCATTACTCATAGTAGGGCCTTCACCTCCTGGAATCATCTCAGTAAATAGAAAGCCATTTATGCTTTCATGCTGCAGTTGCTCTGATTCAACTTTGAACTTCAAATTCTAAGACACTAAGAAACAGGGAATTAGTCAGGAGGAGCCTGATTTTGTGATCAGCCCACTTGGTGGACTGAAATGTCAAAATCTGCTCCTATAAACAAAACTTTTGAAGTACTGCCTCAACAAATTCAGCCTAAAGACATGAAATGTTGGTTCTTTGCACAATTGCACGATGTTCGTATTAGTTTGCTAGAGCTTCCATGACAAACACCACAGACCAGTGGCTTACAAGGTAGACATTTATCTTCTCACAGTTCTGTAGGCATAAGTCCCAGGTCAAGGTATTGGCACCATGGGTTTCTTCTGAGGCTCCTCTCCTTGGCTTGTGGCTGGTGTCTTCTCCATGTGTCTTCCCTCTTGTGTCTGTGTCTCAATCTCTTCTTATGAAAACACCACTCATATTGGATTTCCAAGTCCCACCCTACTGACCTCATTTTAATTTAGTTTAATTACCTCTTTAACAACCCTGTCTCCAACTACAGAGACATTCTGAGGTGCTCAGAATTGACATGCTCAGTTAGGACTTCAACATATGAATTTTGGGGGGGAACAAAACTCAACCTATAACTGTGTTTTCTGTATCTTTTCTTCTGACATATTTCCAGATTAAACTTTGGCTTTCTTTCTTATTAATTCCAATTGGGGTTTAAGTTTTTGTATTTTTTTTTAAAAACAACTGCTGAACTATTGGGTTGCAGCTTCGGATCTTACTCAAAGACAATATTTAAACTAACTGTTCAAACACTGAAAGGGTCAATAAATTTGTGGTTAACTCACAATTAAAATAATAAATTGGATATTGAGTGGTCCATGTGGTTAGTGTACACACTCCTTTGAAAATAATTCAACGTATCTCTGCTGTGGTTCCCTGGGGAGACAGCAGCCAGGTCCAGAGCCTGGGGTGACCTGCAAAACAGAGCTCCTTAAGGCCAGCTTGAGCACAGGTGACTGTACAAACTGATGATTCCGGACATTATAATCATTTATCTTTTGGTGTTCCTTTTTCCTTCCCCTCTCTCTTCATTTCTAGGAAGGCCAGGTCTTGATGGTGATTTGGGTAATAAAGGAATCAAAGGCTTCCCAGGCCTTCCAGGAATACAAGGCCTCCCAGGTTTCATTTTTTTACTTTCTCTGTGTCCTTTTCATAAGGGAGGCACGTTTCTGCTGAGGTTAGAATCCCTGTACACCTGCTGCTCTATATAAGATAGCTCCCAGTTACTCAGTACCCAGACAAAAATGCAGAAAAGTGGGGTTAGATATTCCTACCTAATTCAAATATCTGCCAGTCTAAATATTCCAAAGTGATAATCCACATGATAGTATTAATCTGTGCATACTTTTCACTGGGAATTTAGCGTCACATAACTACAGTTCTAAAAAATGAGCACCTTTAATAAAATCCCACAAATCTCCCTGGTATTCTCATTAAGCCATTGGTAGGAAATATATCCTCTTTGTATGCCATGTGTTTGCTGTTTTCAGGCCTTCCAGGATTCCCCGGATCTCCTGGACCAGTGGGTATGAGAGGTAACCAAGGACACGATGGAATTCCTGGTCCACCTGGAGAAAAGGGGGAAACAGGTATAACTTGCTCCTTATCTTTGATTTACCAGTTTTGTTTTGGATAGAATCATTAGTGACATTGTAATCCTTCCCTTCTCTAAAGATTCTTCTCTGATAGAACTGATTATCTTTTACATGTTCTTGGTGTGTGATAATTAAACTTCCTTCACATATACATAATGTAATGACATTAGCCAAATATTAATTTACCAAAATTATCTCTTTCAGGTTTACTGGGGGCATACCCAGGCCCAAGAGGGAACCCTGGTGCTCGAGGTAAGCAGTCCTTGCGTGACTTGATGGTACACAGTTTCATATGCTTGATACATAAAATAAACCTAACCTAGTGAATTAAAGAAGTCCCAATGGTCATATAGGATATTTACCATCTTAGTAATCAATTGAAAATGTTTAATTATTACCGTCACAACAAAGGGAACTAATTAGAAACTGTGATCCAATTTTGGAATTTCTTTCTATGAAATCTTTAAACATAAAAAGGATTCTGATATATTTACTTTGTTGTTGATGGTTCAAATCTATCACCTCCTGAAAGGAGAGAGGTGCAGTTGATGGCTTCCCAGTGAGCATCCCTTCCCGCTGTCCTGCGACACAGGAGGAATCCTTTCCCACCGTGTTATCGTCATAGGTCTGCCTCCAACTCCCAGCCCCGGGTCGTGGTTCATGCTATTGTTTATTAAGGGCCACCCAGCAACTCTCTCAACATCTCAGACACAGCAATTTTCTGAACACGTCATTCAAAGTAGAGGCAAGTTTTTTGTTTGGAAGACTGAAGTCTGCATTTCTCATGTCAGTATTTTACAACACAAGCAGCTTCTTTTAACTATTTTCCATTTTGTATAGAAACCTGCCAGAAGAAATGTCAGATTGCTTGCACCTCTTCTTGACCCCTCTCAGCCATGGGTCGTGGACTTGGGAGTGTTTCGTTAGCAAAGAGGCTTAGACCCAGTGAAGGTCTCTAGCTACTGACACTCATGAGAACCAGCGAAGAGCAGCCCATGCTGCTAAGAGATCAGCTGGGCGGAGCTGTCTCTTGACTAAACAGTGAAAGTATGAAAGTAGACAAGAGCTTTTCTCTTCCACTCGTTTCTTAATGATCTGATTGTCCTTTTGGTTGAGTGCGGAGTTTGTGCGTCTCCCAGACCTTCCTCCCCAGTGAGCACAAAGGCTTTTCCTGTTCTACGATCTGGTTTTAGAATTGTGGTCAAAAGGAGAGTTGCTGTTCATGTTCCTAGGCTAGGCTTGCAGTTTAACCATTTGGAATGGGAACACAAGCTTTCACTAGGAAATAAAATGTGATATAAAACATGGTCGTATCTTAGGTAATAAAGCCTCAAAAATAATAAACAGCCGAATTACGTAAGTAAATGATGATGCACCTCAATCCCTCTAGGATAACTAAATATGGAGAAGAGTTCATTGAGACTTGGAAGGGATGAATCCTTTAAATGAGTTTATTCTCCCAAATCCTAAAAAGAAATCATGTTGCTGAGAAAGCAATCATTTTAATGAACATGGAATATACAACCCAAGACATGGTGGTGCTTCAGGGCATTGTCATACAAAAACAGCATTACAGATCTTCGAGTGAGTTGAAGTCATCTAAACCCTTTCTTTTAAAAGCATAAATTACAGGCATTAAAAAGCTAAAGAATGTGAATAGAGATAGGGCTAGCTAGTCAATATTCATCAATTTTATTTGCATCATCACCCTAAGTCTTCACTACACAGTAACTTCCCAAGCCCTTCCCTGAGCCATCAGCCTCGTTCTCACTGCTTCCTGTCCTTCCTCACATCTGCCTCCTATTTTCATGCCATTTGCTATTTCTAGAATAACACAGAGATGGGAGAGAGAAGGGAGAGATTGTTTTCAATGCTTATAACATTTTTCATTCATGAGTGTCAAAGTACAATTTCTTGAGGTTTTTTTGAGATAAAAAATATTAGTATTAAGTTATGATCTTTTTGGGGTCTTCTTTGGTAAATCCAAAATTTCTGCCACATTTGTCCCTCTCAGACTAGTGTTCCTGTTATGGGAGAGAATTAACCAGAGGACAGAATAAGGGTTGCAATTTTGTTGCTTCTTTGTCTGGGTTTAGCTAGATCACACTTCAAATGTACACATCAGTGCTATGCAATTTAGCTTTTTATGTCAGAGACTAAATAATGTTGTTGTATTTAAAGTTCATCAGATAATAATAATAGTGGTTTACATTTATATAACGCATTAGAACTGAGACCATGCTTTTCAGGTTGTATGTTATCTCGCTTGATCTTTTTAGAACTGAGCGAGGACAGGCATTACCTTCACTTTTAAAATAAGAAAACCAAGACTTAAAATAGTAAGTTAATCTGAAATGACTTTGCCAAGATCAGATGGCTAGTTGGAGGCAGACTGAGTCTCAACTCAGTTTTTATAGACCTATATTTCATTTACCAGCCTCTTTTTAAAATATATATTCTGAGTCTTAATATTTTCAAGTAAAGGTGCCTACCTTATCAAAGATAACTGTAAACTATAACTCCAACTATAGGGGCAGTAGAGAAACTTACTGAACCTTCTTCTTTGCAGGAGCCAAAGGAGACAGAGGAGTCCCAGGCTTGCCCGGCCCCCCGGGCAGGAAAGGGGCAGTGGGCGATGTGGGGCCTCCAGGGCCCATTGGCATCAAAGGACTCCCAGGGCCGCCAGGTTTTCCTGGTGCCATCATCCCTGGCCAAAAAGGAAATCGAGGTCCACCAGGCTCAAGAGGAAACCCAGGTATAGGGCTTACTTTTAAATAATACAAAAGAATGAAAATAATGTTTGACCTCAGAAGTTCTCAATCTCCTCTTCACGCTACCTCCTTCCTTCTTTTTTCCCTCTGATTTTCTCCATTCCTCCCACACCCAGCTGCTCTCACACAGAGTGCAATAACTCTCTTGGTGGTGATGAGACACAGGACCTGTTTGAGAGATCAGTAGTTATCAAATTAGCAAGCCTAAAAGGGAGATTTGCATCCATTCAATCTGTATTTACTGGGCTCCCAGTCTGGGTCAGGAACCAGGCTGGGCTCTGGGCAGCAGACACAGACCTGCTCTAACAGACCCTCATCAGAGAGAAGCAGTTCCCGCTTGCGCCAGGTGCTTCGCTGGCCTCACCTCACTCTCGCTTTACCACAGTCTCGTCACATGCCCCAAGAGAAGGGGACAGATGTTCTTGGTAATGATAAGGTTCAGGGTTTGTACTTGGTTAGTCAGAAAGAATCACTGATAGAAACTCCTACGCTCCCTTACTAACAATACTGACAGGCTTTTTGTGAATTCAGGTGAGCCAGGTCCTCCTGGACCTCCGGGGAGTCATGTAAAAGGCATAAAAGGAGAAAAGGGATTTATGGGCCAGCCTGGCCGAAAAGGTCTACCTGGAACTGAAGGAGACAGAGGGCCACCAGGTCATACGGTGAGTAAGGAAAATTATTGACTTACTACAATAAAATTGACTTAATATAATATTGACTTATTATATGTAATTGTTCTTATATTGTATATTGCTAATATAATAATACTGATTTATTATTATTTATGCAAGAATATTATACTCTTATAGACCAATTGCTGGGATCAGATGTACCTGAAGGCAGCAAAAATTTACAATTTTTGATGCATCTGTGCAGTGTGCTTAAATAGTCCAGAAGGTTCAGGAAGTCAAAGAATCTTAAGAGTTAGAAAGATCTGGCCTCTAAGAGCCTCTAAAACTTTGTTCCATGTGGGACTCACCTCTACAGCATTCCTGACCCTTGCTTGTTTAGACTCTGAACAATTCCAGTGATGGAACCTTCAAAAAGCAACTAGGAGTTTAGAATCACTCTAAATGATGGTGTCATTTTTCCCCTCTATTAATATGCTTTCCAAGTTATCTGTACCATCCTATAAATGTCTATTTATTTTCTCCCCACCACATACTTTCCAATGTTTCTAAATAGCTGCCATTTATTTCCAATTATTTTCTTCCTAGATAAATATAAAATTCAGTTTAACCATTCATCAGCTTGCTTCTATCCTGAATATACCCTAGTTTTTCCATATCTCCCTTAAAAATATAGCCCCTGGGACGAAGAAGAACTCAGTGCTCCAGCGAGTGGCTAGAGGAGGGAAGAGTCGACTGCCTGAACATCACCATTTTAGGAATCCCACCTAAAATTCCACTTGGGCCATCCGGCCACCCTGCCTGTCTCCACACTGAGCTTATAGTCAGCTAAAGCCCATGTGCCTTTTCCTCATGAACAGTTACTAAGTTTTCTCCAGTATTTCTTATCTAGCTTTTTGTTGTTGATGTTTGTTTATGTGTGATGTAAGGGCAGAACTTTCATATTTATCTTTCATAGACAACATCTTGTTCCTTTAGGCCCATGCGCCCAGCATGAGATCTCTCAGTTCCTACTGTCTCCCTCAGCACCATGGCCATTAAGCCATCTTCCCTAGCTCCCTCTTACCAGTGTGTTCACAGAGCCAATTCTTCTGTTTACATCAAATTCTTGGAGACAGATGTTAAAGAGATGGGTGTGGTCATTACTGAGGTCTACTCTGTGCCAATGGATAGAAGAATAAAAAGGCACAGCCCTTGGCCGGGCGCGGTGGCTCATGCCTGTAATCCTAGCACTCTGGGAGGCCGAGGCGGGTGGATCGCTCAAGGTCAGGAGTTTGAGACCAGCCTGAGCAAGAGTGAGACCCTGTCTCTACCAAAAAATAGAAAGAAATTATCTGAACAACTAAAAATATATATATATATAAAAAATTAGCCGGGCTCGGTGGCGCATGCCTGTAGTCCCAGCTACTCGGGAGGCTGAGGCAGTAGGATCGCTTGAGCCCAGGAGTTTGAGGTTGCTGTGAGCTAGGCTGACGCCACAGCACTCACTCTAGCCAGGGCAACAAAGCAAGACTCTGTCTCAAAAAACAAAAAAAAAAAAATGGCATAGTCCTTTGCCCCGGAGGAGCCTGCGATAAGGTGACGGTGATAGACATGGAGACAAGCTGTTTCTACTCTGTGCATGAAGAGGAATGGCGAGGGCTATGGCTACACACAGGAAGAGTATTTAATCCAGTCTGCAGAGGGAAGATGCCGAGGAAAGGTTTATCTTGGAGGAGATGGTGCCCAGCTGGAGTCTTGAACGATGCACGGGGGTTACCCAGAAAAACAAGAAAATAGGGGTAGGGGAGCCGGGAGGAAAGGAGCCTTTTGATGAGTGAGTGTGAGCAACAAGACACACGGCTCCGTTACTGGAGGTGAGCAGGGAATGAGCACATATCAGCTGGAGGCTAGAGGGCTAAGCAGGGATCAAGGCATGGAGGTCTGGTTTTCTAGACTAAGAAGCAGGACATCATTTATTTATTTGAGAAATATTTACAAAGCAGCTGTGTGTACCCAGATTTCTCTGGAAGCTGGAATTAATCCCTTAATGAACTGCCTTTTGATCTGGCCATTCACCAAGCTTTAAATTCATCCCGGCTGCCCTATGCAGCAGCATGCTGTCCACAAAGACATGGTGGGGAGATCTGTGCTTTGATGATTCATACATAAATATAGAACATCTATGATGTCACTCTGATTCCCTTCTCTACTAACCCATTAGTGATGGGTAATGAGGTATGACTCATACTTTGGTATGACTTATTGTTAAAAATCATGTTAAGCCCCAAGCTCTCTCTCTATTTGGTTCCACAATCTACCTTTTTTAAAAAATTTGTTTTGAAAAATGACATATTTGCCAATCTCCAGTCTGTACATGCTTCTCATATTCTCCACGGTTCTTTGAAAGTTGTTAACACTGATCCATGACCACATCTAAAGTCCTTCCAAGGACACGGGATGTGGAAAGTCTGGGTTGAAAACATGATCCTATTCAAACCCTCAGATGCTTTCATGGTCATCCATAGACTTCTGCATTTTGCATTTGAAAGAAAATTCTTGATGGATATCTCAGCTGGCCCTGTGCCCTAAACAGTTCTCTCCTTGCATAGAACACCTCCCTCCTAGTGCCAGGGTGGGGCTTGGCACCAGGTCCTCCTCCACATTTACCTTTGCCTCAAGAGAAAAGCAGATGTCAGAAGCCAGAGAGTTTTTGTGTGGGTGTGTGAGATGGGAGGGTCTCACTCTGTCACCCAGGCTGGTCTTGAACTCCTGGCCTCAAGCAATCTTCCCACCTCAGCCTCCCAAGTCTCTGGGATCACAGGTGTGAGCCCCCATACCTGACTCTCTCTCCTTTGTTAACTTCATACTGCCTTATCCAAGCAATAGGACTGTTCTTTCTTTGGTCTTCTTGCTCCAAAGATAGCTGGTTCAAAGGCTAGTTTTGTTCTTGGCATTTTTCATGACCTTCAGCTCATTGTTTTCAAGTAATAGCATTGCCTCAGTTCATACGGACAGTATACGAAGAATGAGGAGATTTTACATACATTTTGACATACAGCTTCCTCCTCTCTCCTCTTATGGCTTTGCTTAAACATCTCACGGCTACAAGAGCAATCCATGTGAGCCTCACAAGAAGGGAGCACCTCCTCCTAGCTCAGATCATTGCATCCTCGCCAAACGTGCCTGTCAAAAACTCTTTTCTGATGATCCCCTTACACTCCCATCCATGGACACTTTACTTTTCCCACCAGCCTGATCAAGAGTGATTTATAGCTCCGCCAGCTTAGTTAGAATGATGCTTGGGTGCTACGACTCAACAACAACTCCGTTGCTTTTGCAAGAATTACAAATACAAAGTAGAATTTTTATTCTGGCAGTATGGTGCCTATTCTTCTTGAAAAATCTCCAAATACTGGGAAGTTCCATTTAGGATACAGAATACCCAATTGCATCCAATACTGAAACAATATATACTGACATTAGGAGGAATGTTTGCTCTTGGGCTTAAGGGGAGTTTTTCATTATTTTTT